TAGCTTATACTTCAAAGGTACTTTTGGGGCTAAAGAGAGTTCGAGTTATCTTTGCTGCATAGAAATTTTTGCGAGCAAATATCCCCATTATTTTAGCTCTTCTCCGGTGCGAAAATATGCCGACTTTCTAATATTTGATTTTCTCTTGCTGTCGCAAATGAAAAAAGCCAATTGGCTGACGCGGTACCTTAGGCCATTACACCCTTAACCATTTATTAGGTTGTCCCATAAGTCTTTTCATACCTGAATTTTCAGCGACATAAATCAGTTCTTCTCGAACTCCTAATAAAATTCAGGATACCGTTCGAAAGATCAAAACAAGCTCTACAAAATGGCGTTCAAAAGTTTGCAACAAGTTCAATCTGCAACCAGTTCCTAGCCAAAATAGAAAAATTTCCAATTTTTCGAAAAAACGAAAATCATCATATCTCAGTTCAAAACAACTCTGCAAATTTCCTGCTTTCTCATGCATATACTCTCCTCATCGGATATTTATACATGCCCTTGCTGCATTTTTCTGACGGCTAGAAACCGAGAAAAAATAATGCGCTCAATTTTCAAACTTTGCCTGTATCAGTTCTGTATTTCCTCGCAAATTGGTGTTTATATAGCGTATTAACTCAGAATTACTGCCACAAATTTGCAGCCTTCTAGGTGCTCTAGTTCTTGAGAAATATCGAATTGAAGGTCCGAATATGAAAAGACTTATGGGACAACCTAATAGATTATCATATATTTAGTTTTGTGAACACTGCGGAAGTTCCCCTTCATGGAAACTTTTTCTTGCATGACTGTATTTTGGCAACTTTGCTTCGGGGCTCAAAATTTCATCATAGGAAAGTTGATAAAGTTGATTTGCCAAGCATCAGTAAGCACTAGAAAGAGCAAGAAAAGTTCTTCTAGATGATGGTTATGACGGTGCCATAAGTGCAAAACCCTAAGGAAATACTGCGCTAGAACAAGGCAATTGAAAATCGGACAGACTTTTGAATCAGCCTACTACAAAGAGGAAGACTTCTTCTATCTGATAAAATCAGAAAGATTGTAACGATAACAATAAGCTACGAATTTTTAAAGTGAAACGGCAGAATTTTGGACAACCTAATATAACAGAAATCTTGAAGGAAGTTATGATCAGTTAAAAACGAGGTTTCCGAAAAAAAATTTTATTTTTCCACCGATTTGTGATGTTAATATAAGTTAATGTGCGCTGTATAGAGAGAGGTTTGGTGCCTCCAATGAACTTTGCAGCACTGAAAAATATGGATTTTTAGAAAGTTATGGCACGTCAAAGTGAGAACTCGCAAAACGCGCATTACTTTTGCACCAACCTAATATATTCAATTACAATATACTGCCATATACATTGCTTTCCATCCAACGTCCCATATTCTACTCGCCATAGCCCTAGAATACAAAGCTATCTTGCTAAGCAGGTGTGAGTTTCGTAATCAACAGTTCAGATAACCTCTATGAGCGAGTTTTCAAAGAACTTCGTATTGTTTGATTTTTTTTCGATCCACGCTCTGAAGCTCGCCGATGGATTTTGGCCAAAATGCTGATGATTTTGAATTGTACGGAAACTTCGCTTATAGAGGTTTTCGGACACGCTCTTTACGAAAATCGTGGTCTTTGAGGATTACAGGGTTTTCTGCAGAGATATGAGGTGAGGGAACTGTAACTGAATTACGAAAGTGAATTTTCCCGCACTTCTCGCTTGTCTGTCAGAAAACTTGCCTGCTTGCTTTTCTAATTCAAAGTTGCTAGAAATAGTGCTATCGAATGGTTCGTGACCCAGGCTCCATTATAGAAATCGCCGAGTTACGAGCCTACGAAAACACGTCCTCATAAATCTTGCGCAAAATGAAAGATCGCATATTTGGTCCAAATTCCACCGTGAGTCTTGTATGGCACTCGCATTGCAGATAATATGTTCGCTTTGCCCAATGACTCCCACTGTATTGAATATCGTGCTTGCGTGTGCTTCAGCTGCTCAATTGAATATCAAAGCTGTTTCGTGGCTAGAGCTCAAACTACCAAATCTGATACAACAAGATCCATTAAGGATGTGAAAAGGTTTTATCTTGTTGTACAAGTACTCACGATGGAATATCGACGAAGTATGCGATCTTTACATTATGGGCAAAATGAGGACGTGTTTACGTAGGCTCGTAACTCTGCGATTGTTACGGATTGGAGCCTGAGTAATGCACCATTCGATACCACTGTTAGTAACTTTGACTTAGAAAAGCAAGCAGGCAAGTTTTCTGACAGATACGCGAGAAGTGCGGCAAAATTACGCACTTTCATGATTCAGTTACCCTTCCCTCACCTCATATCTCTGCAGAAAAAACCCTGTAATCCTCAAAAACCGCAATTTTGTAAAGAGCGTGCCCGAAAACCTCTATAAGCGAAGTTTCCGTACAATCCAAAATCATCAGCATTTTGACCAAAATCCATCGGCGAACTTCAGAGCGTGGATCAAGAAAAAATCGAACAACCCGAAGTTTTTTGAAAACTCGCTCATAGAGGTTATCTGAACTGTTGATTACGAAACTCACATCTGCTTAGCAAGATAGCTTCGTATTCTAGGGCTATGGCTATTAGAATACGGGACGACAAGATTTTTCCACAAATCGCCAGCCCATATATCTCCTTTGAGAAGTCTGCAGCTGCTCTCCATGATCCACAAAGAAAATGCTATCGAACGGTCTTTGCTGGAGTCTATTAGGGGCACTGCGCGCTGCTTCACACACTTGCGAAGAGATTCAAGAATACTAAAACCGGAGCATCAAGGACGTCCTGTATATCTAAAAATTCGCCTTGAAGAGCTGAGCACAGCGCTTTTTCGGATTCAAAATATACTGATTCCGAAGGAAGTTATGGCAAGTAGAATTTGGAAACTCGTAATATTTTCAAAATTCACCAACTCTTCTCTCTGTTTCACGATAATCTACAGAAACAGTACTATCGAATAATATTTAGTGGAATCTTCCATGTGGGAGCGCTGCTTCACATCTTCGCAGAAGGACCTCTGCAGAAGAATTTGAAAAAACTGGAAACGGAGTATCGAAGACATCGTACCCAACTTCCAATATATCAGAAGATGCTCCGTTTGAGATGAATCGAATGGTGGCTTTGGATTCAGAATTTGTCCACTCTGAATCGAGATATGCTGACGCGATGGCGATGTCCGCACATTAGGCGACCGTCACATAATTCACGCGACCGTCGCATGACTTACGCGACGGTCGCCTAAGTTTACCTCCCATCGAGTCTTTTTTCGAAAAATGTGAGCGGTATGTATAATGGTGAGAGGCGATTGGCGACCTACTAATTACAACCATAACAAAGATCAACAGCTTCAATAATGGTGTTTGAAGGATTGTGAGAGCTCCTTACATGAAATTACATTTATTAGGACACTCTGGTTATCTATTGTGAGAGCTCCTTACATGAAATTACATTTATTAGGACACTCTGGTTATCTTTCTCGGAATGCTATCATTTTTGATACTTCATTATATTAGGTTGTCCCGAAAGTTCCGTCGTTTCATATTTGAAAACTTGTAACATTTTGCAGTGTCGACGAATTTGCTTTTTTTTATTTCATTGGAAGGGAGAGGTCTTCCTTTTTGTAGCTGTGCCTCGATGAGTTTCCTTTATACTTCACTGCAGAGATAAAATGAAAAAAGAAGACTACTTAAGCATGAGCATTTTAATATAGGTCGCCAAAAATCTGTAACGCTGCAGAAGAATCTGAAATTGCTAGTACCTAAGTTTTATGAACTCTGCACCTGAGAAAAAACCTATACTGTTTATGTGAAAAGTAATTATTTTCGAGTTTACAATAGAAAACGCTAAAATTGATCAGAGTCACTTTTCTCAAAAATCATAACTTTTCATTGAAACGTCCAAACAGCAATTTTTTTATGCAAAGAGTAGGTGATAAAACTTACAAACTGACAATTCCGAATTTTTCTGCAGCGTTCCAGACTTGGCGACCTAACTCAAAATGCAAAACCCAAGTGATCTTGTTCTTCCATTTTTTTCTCTACAATGAAACTATAGCTGAGCTCATCAAGATAGCTCTACAAAAAGGAAGACTTGTTCTTTATAATGAAGTTAGAAAAAAGCAAATCCGTTAAGGCAGCAAAAATTGCAAATTTTCAAAAATGAAACGATAGAACTTTCGGGACAACATAATAATGGTGTATGTAAAATAAAACAACTTCTGTTAGATGACAGCACTAAAAAATTTCTGGCAAGATCTCAGATCAAAAACACCAAAGATCATTGATTAAGAAATAATGCAACACAGTAATAATGATTAAAAATGAATGAAAGCAAGCAGCCTCTACAAGTACAAGTTGTCAACTCCACTCATCCCATCTATGTTTCAGAATGTGTCAACGAAAACAATAATTCAAGCACTATTGCATTGTTCATGGAAAATTTCGATAGCATTGTTGATGAACTCATGAAATCAAGCTGGTCTAAAATTGGATTTAATTAGCTTAATGATAATTGTCAAGTGCAGTTTTTGCTTTTACAAATAAGGTCAGAAGCTAATTGCGGTGTTGGCTTGCAAATAATGTAAGAGAGTTCAGCTTGGATAACTACGCCACTTAAACAATGTGCTTCATTACTTACTAAATTTATTCTTTTTCTGCTGTTGATAGTACATTGAGTTGCAAGGACAGCAGATTTTTCGTCAAGTTGTCTTGGGTTGAACGAAATGTGAGGGCATATGTTTGGTACAGACAATCCATGAACGGATCTGGAAACGATAGAACCATAGAGGCAATGTTGTTGCTGAATTTTGTGTAGCGACATTTTGCAGTGAAATACAATGCAAAATCATTGCAAGCTCCACAAATCTATCTCAATGGAAGAGCACTCATCGCTTCAATACATCCATTCCTAATCTTGTCTTTATTCCTTTTCTATTCATTTGAAGAATATATAAAGGAGCTGAAATTCAGCAAACCCATCTTCAAATGGTGTCGCTGGCTAGCGTAAGTTGGTTATAGATACCATAGTGTTGAATTCAACTAGCCTTTCGTCCAGGTAATCTTCCTTCTTGGAGCAATCTTTGTCCATGAAGCATACGGAGGTCCAACAACAATGCAGCTTGGTCGTCGACCTTGGTACAATCCTGACAGCAATCTTACGGATCCCACACTGAGGTTCAAACCTAAATCTGAATCTGGACACAAACATCATGGATTAAGAAAACGTTCACTTTGGAGTAAATTGTGGGGTCTTTTGAGTTCACTTGTTGGTAAACCTCTTACCGACCAAGAACGTTCCGAAAGAATTAAGAGGTTGCAAGAAAAGATCCACAACATCAGCGAGTACGGTCAAGGATACGGTGGTTTTGGTGAGGGCTTTTTTGCGGGCCACCACCCCGACTATTTCTATTATTACGATTATTTTAATAATCCAAACCCTGAGCTGAGATAGAATCAAAATTTGTTTGAATAAAAATTGTGATGTTCACCTGTATTTACTTCTGCAAACAGAAAATGTTTCAAAACTTCTCCAAGCTGTGCTACATAAGACGAATGCGTTTCATTGTTCAAGCAGTGCTTCAATGAGTAAAGGCAACGTTTTTACATACAAAGGGCCCTCTAATAATCTGAAACGAAAACCTGGAAGGGTTGGTCTGAAGCACATGAAAGGAAGATAAAAAAAGGTTGCATTGAATTAAATCTTGTGAAATGATATGATTTAGTTGCGTTCGCTCAAAATTTTCTGAGAATGCTTTGAGATGAAATAAAGGTACTTGGAAATCAGCATGTTGCTATAGAAAAAGAACAAGGTCAAGTAGTATACGATTTGAGAAGAATAAATGCGTGAGTTTTTCGCAAATTTTGCAGTCCACAAGTCAGAGTCTGAAATGCAACAGAAACATTGAGTCTAATGTCCATAAATCTCGCGATAACTGTGGTGCTCGCTTATTTGAACAACTAAATCAAAGTTCCTTCCGGAACTTCGTGAGCCTTTAGTGGCGATGGCCTCATTGTTACACCTCCTCTCACCAAGGAACAGCTTCCTGCATAAGGATGACAACTGTAACTACATAGCTGGGCTCGAAGAAGCAGTCAGAGTCCACATTGGTCGTTCAACTATATTCAGTTTCATGTATGATGCGGAAAGCTGTACGATTGTATAACCTTTGATTCAACTGGCTTGGCGGCTGGAAGGCGGGGCTTTGTGACCTAATTAAGGCCGCTCGCGCCCGTGACGCAGTCTGCGTCTCTCCTGCGCGCCTCTGATCATTACCTAGCCTTAATTAGGTCACGAAGCCCTGCCTTTCAGCCGCCAAGCCAGCTAAATTAAAGGGTATATCTATTAGGCTGTCCCAAAAGTAAACTCCATTTTCATATAAATTGAGCTGTTCTTGTTTTTCTCACAGACTTAAGGCACCGTTCAATAGAGCGGAGCAAGCTCTACAAGAAGAGCACCAAAAATCCACCTAAGTCGTAATCCAGATAAAATTTGGGGCCAAAAATTAATATTTTTCAGCTACTCTAGAAATCAAATCTCCTTCCAGAGAATTCCTATGGACCCAAGTTGGTCCTTATATAGTTGACATATAGTAGTACCCAAAAATGTATTTGGCGGATTTTTTTCGGGGCTCAAGATTGAGAAAAAAAGATGGTCCGAAAATGCCAAAATGCCGCTCTTTTGGGTTTTTTGTGTAAAACTTGGTATTTCCCGAATATAAGAGCACATACAGGGGTAAGTTTTTGTTGTAGTGTACAGTGATATATGTGGGTTTTTTTAAAACTTGGTATTTCTCGAATATAAGAGCACATACAGGGGTAAGTTTTCGTTGTAGTATACAGTGATATATGTGGGAGGGGCTGGGGGCGGAACTTGCCATTTTTGGACAATTTTTATTTCTTGCTTTCTATGCTTGGAAAAAAACTTGATAAAGGCATATTTGAGTACTACTATGTGCCTACTGTATAATGACCAAGTTGAGGGTCTGTAGGAATCTTTATCGCAGAAATCCAATTTTTAGGTCACAAAATTTTTTCCGATTCTTCAGACTTTCCACCGAATGCGGCTTAGGTGGATCCTTGGTAAACATTTTGTAGAGCTTGATCTGCTCTATCGAATGATACCCTAAGTTTACTGGAAAAACAAAAACAGCTTGAATTAATTGAAAAAGAAGTTTACTTCTGGGACAACCTAATATCATACCGAAAATTCAGCTGCCAAGATTTATTAGGTCGCTGCTAACAAGGGAATGGTCAAAGTCGAAGTGGCCAAACCAAACAAGCTGTATATCATTCGATGCAGTATAAAACGCTAACTTCGAATCTGCCTTTCTTATCTGCTCTCGCTTCTGTGGACGAAGCTGCAAGTAGTTTTATTGTGATAAAATCGTACATAAAAACTGCGAGATTGAGCACATTGTTGCATTTTCAGCTCAGCTTTAGACATTAAGAATTTAAAGTAGATAAGCTGTATGTTTTGGCCCAGCATTAAGCCGAACGTGGCTCTGTACGGCCAAATTTGTACTTCCACTCATAATTTCTCAGCAAAATAATGGCTTTTGATAACTTATAGCTTCCAGAAAAGCGATAAGCAGATAAGGAAGACAGATTTGGACTCAACGCTTCATGCTGCATTTAATAGTGTGCAGCATGTCTGTTTGGCTACTTCGATTTCTGATCATTCCCTTGTAAGGTTCTTTCCGTTTCTTGCACCGACCCGCAAATCTCGTATAGTTAAGATAAACAAATATTGTAATCCAAGCGCTGCATCATGCAGAATTTCTCCCTCTTTTCCGGAGCTACGTTCTCGTTGCAATTCTGTCAATGAGCGCTGGGATAACTGCCAGAGCTTACGATCCACCATTTTTCCATGTCTGATTTACGTATTTTTATTATTTTTTCAAATTTCAGAACATTCATTTGAGATTTTCAAATGTGCTCTGACACCCAAGTGATAGAGTAATCGTTTTGCAAATCGATGCATTTTGTTGCATCTCTCTAGCATGCCTTTTATTATAGAACCACTAACTAAGAGTTCTGGAGCAATCAAATTTCTCGATCGGTCTAACCTGACCTTATTGAACATAACATTTTAAACAGTTCAGGTAGCATTCAGGGCATTTTTTCCATTTTTATAACAGTCATCATTTCGTCGCGATACATGCTATTTTTGCACGCACCATTTCTCAATCTCAACTATTTGCCCCTGTTTTTCAGAAACTACATATTTTCAAGTGATAGTCTCTCATTTACTTTCCGTGTTAGTAATAGTAACGTTCGAATTCCAAAATCTCGATATTCTGGAAATTTTTCGATGTTTGGTGCACTTATATTAAGCATTTTTAAGCATTTGCTGCTTATGGAAAATTATTCAGAAAAATTATGGAAAGCATGTTAGAGAAACATATTAAACTGCAAAGGTTGCGCTATCATGTGGCCATCAGAACACCTTAAGAAGCCTGAAAAAAATCCTGACAATAAGAATTTGGGTAATGGACATTTTGGAAATGAGGGGGTCGTAATCTTCGGCTATTATCTCGGTAGTTATCGCGTAAGCTCGGAAACATAACGAATGGAAAGAGAAAGAGATGTTGCACTAATATTTATCTTGAATATTTGCTTATCTTCACTCTACGAGATTCGAGGGCTGGTCCAAAAAAACGGATGAACTTTTACATCAACCTAATAGGTATAAAGTTGGGCGTACAGGGTAATCCACATGAAGTGTTACGCAAAAAATATTCGTAGCCTTGCGAAAACTAAATGGAATCGCAAGGTTTATCTTTATGATCTTTCAATCTCTAACAAGTTAACCGCTTCTTTCTTCGATGAAAGCATTCATTCTCTCCAGAACATTTTTTCCGAAGCGCGCATTGCTTTTGTCGACGCTTCTTCCCAGGCTCTTACCGGGTCTTCTTTTAGCAAATCGAATGAAATAAGGTCCAAAAAGCAGGTTTTTGTTTTCAGTTGTAGGATGGAGGGTGGAAATCTATGGAGATGTGTGTGGGTAAGTTGGAATATTTGAACTCATTAGTTTAGATGTGTCCAGCTAAAATTTGATACTGTCGCAGAAAATTCGTTTTCGGTCTATTTGCCATATTTTGGTAGTAGCAGTCTTTTTCATATCTTTCTGTCCCATTGTGGCCATTCCTGGCTTCAGTTCTTAGTTAGATTTGATCTAGCTCTAATTTCTCAACCGCTGATGTTAACGCAAATCGCAAATTTTCGAGATTTTGAAGAATGTATCGGAATTCGGCTTTGAAGGGCTGGGGTGTATTCTTAGGCCAAAGGAAACACTAAGGACGTTATGTGGATTTTCTTAGCAGGATCAGGCATGCCAGTGAGAAAAAAGATATTGCAGTGGTGTAAAGTCAATTCAGGCATTTGAAGGCAGCGTCCACCCAAAATATCGCCTCCCATATTGCTATTCTGGAGCTTTTCCGGGGTCCTGATTACAGTCATGAAGTTTAAACTGTCCAAAACCCTCAAAAAGCGGATTTATGTGGACCCTTTCTTAAGGGACGACCTTCAATACATGGGTGGGTAGAGCTTGATAGGATCTGAGCGCGGTTGAAGCCCTTTGGTATTCAAGGTCCATTATCTCCATTCAGAGACGACAATAGGGGGCCGGATCACCGCAAATGCCCCTTTCCTGAGGCCTGAATCCAGGATCGGAACTAAGCGTTAGCGAGCGTTAGGGGTTAGATTTAACCTGGACACTGCCTTCAAGCAAATAACGTTTCGCCTTGCAACTTACCTAAACCCACGATTCCCTCACTGGTCTACTTGAGAGCAGAAAGCATGCTCGAGCAAGCGAGCAAAACTTGGAAAGAAAATCTGGTGAGAACCTGTAAAGAAATTCCTCCAGAAACCATTGCACGCATTTTGAAGATTGGGGAAGGTATTTATCAGAGCCACAAGCGTTCATCTTAAAACTAATCTAAAAGATTTTATGCGAAATTTTTTTGTCTATGAGATGAAGACAAGAGCTTCTAATCTCATTCACTCCTTGCAAAGTCATAATATCCTCACTTGACACTTCATGTGGAGCACTATATGTAGGCGAACTATAGCGCGCAAAGACTGCGGACTCATCGGCGTCTCTCTGATCAAGCGTTCTTTCGTTTCTCTAACCATCTGCTGACTCACTCATGCACTCTCTTTGGCCGGATGTAACGGCGCCAGTTTTCGCGTGTCATAAATCGTGTGTACTTTGAATACTATCGGTGATTTCATACATCCATTTTTTCAAATATTATTGCTTCATGAACCGATAAAGTTTTCTCCTCATTCTCATTTCTTGGAGAAGTGGTTTGATTCGGCCAGATAAGCTGATCATGCTCTTCAATTTAAACTTATTAGAAACTCGTTATTCTCGATGAAAGTTGACCTGTTTTGGCTCCTCAGCTTCCAAAAGTGATCTCTCAAAAGCCGAAAAAGCATCTCTGGTAATTG